TGCCACCATCGCCATCTTCCTCTTCATCATCGTCTTCGCCGTCGTATATCTCGTCTCCGTCGACGTACACAAACAACTCATCGTCCTTATCCATCTGCAGTGCCACCTGATACGTTTTCTCCGTCTCCCACGTTGCATCTTCTTTCGACAACTCCCGGATCTCACCGCTGGCCGTCACTTTCCACTTCTTGTCCGGCGTGCACGACACACCCAGGAGGACGGTGCCGGCCGTGTCATTCATGCTCACGCCCAGCAAAGGCGTGTCCTCCTCCGGCACCGCGTGGAGCATCACCGTCGCCACAAGAGCGAACTTGTTGTTTGCAAAGTAGTACGGCTGGTTCTGCCCCCTGCTTCCCACAGGCCACTCCGCCCATGAGCCACTGCCTGTGAAAGTCACACCTCCCTTCTCGCTTGTCGCCGCCCCACCTTTCACAGTCGCGTTCACGCCGCGGTACTCGTCCACCCACGCAGTCCCGGCCAATGTGTTGGACAGTAGGCCCACCAGCCCTTTGGTGGGAAGAGGGCCGTTGCACATGCCCCTCTTTCGCGGGTCGAGGTTTCCACTGGTTTCGCAGCCTTGCAAGGCGGTGTCCAATGCAATCCAACTCTTCACCACCTCTTTTATCCGATCCAGCTGCTCCGTCAGGCGCACATACGCAAGACCGTACGAATCGTATCCAGTCTTCTTCTCGTACAGTAGAATCAACTCCACCGACGCACCGCTTCTGTACAGCAGGGAGCTGGCAGCGGCGTCATCCGCTTCTCGTGACACCGGTCCGACATCGTGCACGCGGGAATTATCAGTCAACCAAAGATGCAGAGCACCCTTTACTTTGCCTTCCTCTTCCGAGTACACCGGCGTGGTGAGGAGCAGCACCTTTTTATTCTCGATGTCTGCCGTGATGAAGCCGCTCTGCACGCCGTCCCCTCCTTGACGGTTCTGCGAGGTGCCCCACACGCGGGTAATCGGCTCACCCGCATCATACCAATCTACCCCACACACAGTGGACTCGTAGACGTCGTAGGAGCCCCTCTCACAGGGAGCCATCGCGAGGAGGCTTCCGTCGTCGCCCCACTCCACGATGGACGGGTCCCTGCAGCCCTCACCGGTCGTTCCGGACGAAAGCTCC